GCGGGGGTGCCCACAGTGGGGACAGCCTAGGGACACAGCCCGGGGCGACCTGCCGTCTTTACGGGACCCAGGCAGCAGCCAGGGTAGGACGCCGGCCCCAGCAGGGACGTGGGACCCAGTGTGCCCAAGCGGGTGGCACCGGCAGCATCGCTGGGGCTCGCAGGGGACACCAGGGCCCCAGGAACCCTCACTCTCGGGTTTCCAGGTTCCTTAGGGAAAATGCTGGGATCCAACAAAGTCCAGGCGAAAAAAGCCTGGCTAAAAAGCCAGAGCACCCCTTAACTCTACGCTAATAAATATCACAGCATATAAATATAAAAGCAAGGCCCGAGAGCTGCCCCCTCGTTGCCCACCCCGGGACGGTGCCACGACCAACCCATCCCCTGGCAGGGGCAGAGTTACCCAGGGGAAACCGTGAGCTCCAGTGTGCACCCAAAAGTGGCCTGGGGAGCCCACGCTGAGCCAGAGCACCCAGCTGCTGCGGGCGCAGGGGCAGGAGGAGACGCCGCTCACCTTGGAAGCCAGGTACTGATCCAGGAGCAGGCACAGCTCCGAGTTCTGCTGCTGCAGCGCGGCCACCTCGCCGATCAGGCTGGCCCTCTGCGCGAGGACGTGGCTGTGCAAAAAGGGGCCCGTTAGCAGGGAGCAGCCTCGGGCCCGAGGCAGACAGGGAGCTGCTGGCCGGGGTGTCTGTGCGTGCCCAGCGCCGTGGGGACCTCGTGTGGGTCCTGCCCAGCTCCTGCCCGCGTGGGCAGCCGGGTTTGGCAGCCCGTGGGCCTGCAGGATCAGCAGGGCTGCCAGGCACTCACTGGTATCTCTCCAGTGCCACCAGCAGCGCGTCCCAGAGCTTCAGCTTGGCCTCGGGGATGGCGTGTGCCAGGGCGTCCCAGTACTCGGCGTCCTTGGAGCTGTCCCGTCCCCGCCGCGAATCCTTGGCTGAATCGTCCTTCCCCCTGCGGGACGGAGAGAAAAGCTCTGGGGCTCCGGGCTCTGTGTGGGTGAGGAGCAACCCTCAACCCTCCGCTGCGCTGAGCACTGTTGCCGTCATCACACAAATGAGCACAAGGGCATCGCGCCCCCGCTCACCTCAGCTTGTCAAAATCCCGCACGAACGCCTTGAGGATCCTTAGGATGTCGTCGGCACGGACGTACACGGAAGGGAGGGAGTCCCGCGAGGACGTCGGCTCGCACCTCTGGGAACCGGAGCCGTCCTCTGCTGCGGCCAGGCCCTCGGGATCCTCCCTGGCCGGGCTCTCCTGGGCACCAGGCAAGGGAAGGCAGCACGATGGGCACTGTGCCCTTCCCACGGCCCTGCGTCCCCCCGGGAGCTGCAAGTTCTCCGGTTTGGAGGCCAGCTGGCGCAGCCTGGGTCCAAACTCCCTCCCCAAACATTGTGGTCTCATTAAAACTCCCTACTGGGATCAGTCCCGCTGCATCTCCGTCAAGCAGCGACCCTGCAGCAGGGCTCTCCCCTGAGCTGGGCCGGCCCTGGCCGGGCTGCTCTACTCGCCCTCAAAAGCAGAGCTTCTCCACGGTGTCCCTGCCCCGGCGTAACTCGTGTCCCTGCACAGGGACGGGCTGGCTGCCTTGGTTGGGACCCTCCACACCAGACCCCCCGGGTGTCCAAGGCTCTGTTCATGTCCCTTGTCCAGATACAGGGAGATATTTTGGGTCTGTTGTGCGGGGCTGTCCCACCCTGTCCTCCTTGGATGCTCAGGGCATGTTCTGCTCCCTCCTTCCTGCTCTGCCAGGCTCTCCCCACCACTGTCCCCGTCTGTCCCACCTGGGTGACAGTCACGTCCTGGGCTCTGTACTTCAGGAAGAAATCCACCAGCTCGTACAGGTCATCCTTGCTGTCAATCTCGAGGGCCTGGGGAGCAGAAGAGGCTGGTTAGAGTTCCCCAGAGACAGCACGGGAGCTAAACAGTATTTCCCTGGAGAAGAGGTGCCCCTGTGTGGAAGGGAAGGTCATTCTGAGGCTGTCTCCTCAGCTAAATATCCCCTGGGCAGCTAAATACCCCTTGTCCTGTCCACATGGACACAGGTAGAGGTGACACTCTCTCCTTGTGCAGTTTTGCCTCTTCGAAGGCCATTCCTGTCTCCTCTAGATGAGCCAAGTCTTGTTCCTTATATATATCTGTTGCTTATATATATCTGTCCTTCCTGTCCCATTCCTGCCATGCAGCCGGCCATTTCCTTGGGCCAGTTTTGGGACATGGTGTCCTACGCACGCAGCTTTCCCACGCGATCCCCAGCCTTTTCCCAGGAAAGGTTTCCCTGCAGCCTTAACGGGCCAGGCCCCAGCTCACAGCGAAGATGGAGTCGAGCTTCACGAGGGTGCGCTCGTGCTTCCCCAGCGGCTGCAGCAGCCTCAGCAGTTTGCTCTCGACGAGGAAGCCCTGGGGAGATAATGCAGAGAAAAGGGAACAGAGAAACAGTGAACATCTCCGGTTGTGCCCAGCTCCAGCACAGCCAACAGGGAGAAAAACAGTTGGGGAGCCGGAACAGCCACCGTGTGCCATCGTGTGACTGTGCCAGGCTACAGCTGCAGGCTAGGAAGGGAGGGCAGCAGAGGTTGGGTGGCATGAGGACGTTCATCCCCAGCCAGGAGACCCTGGAACAGCCACCTAGCAGGAACAGGCAGGAGAGACATAAGGTCCCTTAGTGCCTCTTGCTGAAGAAGGGCTGCAAGGCCAGAGAAGGATGTGGCACTCGTTAATGCATCAGCACAGCAGTGGCCATGAGGACCTCCTGATGTCCATGGGCGTCCCTGAAGAGGGGATACACAACCTGGACCATAACACACCCAGTTTTGCTGGCCATGCCCTGCGCTGCCCCCAGGGGCAGTTAGACACCTTGTCCCCATGCTCTGGGCCTGCCCGTGCTGCTCAAGGCTTACGCTGCACCTTCCACGCACCGACTCATCGCTCACGAGCTCCAGGATCCTCTTGACAGTCTTTCTGGAGATATTTTGCAGAGGTGACACTCGATCCTCAGCCTTTTCTGGGTTCTCACTTCCTCCTTCTCCGCTGGCCATTTCTTCCTTCCCCTCTTCTCTTCCTTCCTCCTCCTGCGCCCCACAGCTGCTCTCTGAAACACGGAGCAAGAAGGGCGAGCAAAAGGTCTGTGTGCTCTGATCGTGCTCCCGTGCCGGCCCGAGCCACGAGGGGAGCCACACTGGTGCCCTGAGGCCCAGGAAGCCTCACTGAGGCCCAGGGATGTGAGGTGGCTTCCACAAACAGAAACACGAGGTCAAGCACAGATCTCACGAGCGGGACACGGACCAGCCTCGGCTGGGGCTCAAATGGTTGGTGACATCCCCCAGCTCTAGGGAACGGGGATTTACCATCATCTAGCAGGGCTCTCTGACCAGCATGAGCAGGTGACAATAGTTCCTTAACCCACCTGTGTCCCTTAGCCTCCCCCTCCAAGCAATGGCAAAGAAAGGAGTGACCAAGAGGATGAGAGGGTCTCCGATGCCACAGGGGCACCAAGGCTTTGTGTCTCACCTGCCAGCAGCTCCGCAGCCAGCTTGGAGGCAGAGCTCTTGGTTTTGCAGTCCCTGAGGGGGCCGGTGTTGTTCAGGAACCAGGGCCGAGGCTCTTCCCAGGGCAGCCCCAGCTGCTGGGTGTGGATGATGCGGTCCGCGTCGAAGGCTCTGCGTATCAGCCCTTTGGCTTCCTCCTCGTTCATGAGCCAGACCTCCGTGAACTTCTCCGCGTCGCTGACAGCAAAATGCCTGCGTGGAAGGGAGACAGCTCGTGGAAACGGCCCCCGTGCCTCAGGGCAGTGGGGCAGCTTCTCTCTGCACCTCGCTCAGCTGCTCCGAGGCCTCCAGCCAGGTCTCGTGGTGGGTGAATGGCCAGGCCTCCACACACACAACCCACCTCATCATCTTCTGCAGCTCCTTACACTGCTCCACGAGGCGCTCGTAGTCGGCTGCCAGGTTCTGGTTCTCCTCCCTGAGTTGCTTCTCCTGTTTGGCCAGTTTCCTTCTCAGGTTATTGAGCACGTCGTGAAGCCTGGAAGGGGAGAGCAAGGCAGGGAATCTCTGAGGAGGGCACCCAGCTTGTAGGAAGGCTTTGGGACTTGGGGCTACCTATCTGCTAGTGACCACCCAGCACCAAGGCCTGACCATGGTCCCTGAGCTGGTAAGGCAGAGCCCCGAGAAGAGACTGTTCTTTACCTGTTGAGCTTTCTCTTCTGCTGGGATTTGATGATGGTGTTCTCCTCATCTTGCTTTTTGAGCACCTGAAGGTTGTACTCCAGCTTCTCCTGGTTCAGCTGATAGGTGGCTTTCACCTTCTGGAGCTGCTCCTCCAGGGTCTACCATTTCAAACAGCATAAAACAAGCCAGGCCATGAATGAAGGGCACAGCGATGCCTGGAAGCTACTGATACATGCACATTCACATGCACATTCACATGCACATTTCTCCCATGCACGTGGGCCGCATGGCATGTGCTGGAGCTGAGGTGAGGGATGGAGGTGCTGCTTGTCCAGGGTGCCTCAGAATGGGGAAGGGGCTGAGGTTGCCCTCAGCAATTCCGTGGTGGGGCACTAACTTGGGCCTCTCTCCTCAACCCATCTGCTCATTTTCATGATGTTTTAGGAACTACTTGACTCTGAAACCTCTATCAGTTGGAGCTGAAGGGAAGCTGGGGAAAGGGACACACAGGACAGCCCTAAAAGCCACTGGGAACAAGTGCAGGGGAGACACATGTGATGAGGGGAATGCCAGCCACAGGTCTCACAGGTCCACGTGCATGAGTGGTAGCATCCAGGTTTAATTCTCTAGTCTCCCACACAACAGAGGATAGTGCAGAAATCTGACACTGAAAATCTTATAATGCAGTCTTATTTGCATTATTTTATAATGCAAATCTTACAGTGCTTTGCTGGGGAGGTCTGTAACGCTTGATTAAAGCTACCCCTAAAGCCATGCACCAAAGCTGACTTTCAGCAAGCCCTTGCCATCTCTATGTCTTCCTTGCATGGAGTCTCAACGGCTCAAACCTAAATCTGAATCTCAGTTTAAATGTTCTCTGCCCCAACTCAAACCCAAGATATCTTCTTGCATCTACAGTGGACACAAAGAGGAGGCCATTCTCCTTACATATATATATATGTATATCCAAAGACTTATCACTTTCCCACAGAAATCTCTTTCCTGCTCTAAACAGCCTCAGACTTTCAGCCTTTCTCATGGGTCATTTATCTCGGCTCCCTTTGGCCTGTTCTAGGCTCTCTCCCATCTCCTCTAGCTCCTGCCAACCTGGACATGGGCACAAAGGAGAGAGGAATAGTTAGTTACCTCATGTATGGTGTTCCCCCAGCTACAGCTGAAGATGTCAGGTGCCTTTTTGCAACAGCCCCACATTTCCATTTGTGAACCTTGATCCCCAAAGTGCTGCTGCCTCCCTCCCTTGGGCAATTTGGGAATGTTACACGTGCTCTGTCACCCTCCACGTTATCAACATGAAGAAACTGCAAACTCAGGATTGCCCCACTGAACTTGCCCTTCCAGTCTGATGGGGACCTGTGGACAGTTACATCTCACGTATGCTTCACTGCAAAACCTCCTGCAGGTTGTTTCCAGTCCATATTTCCAGGATTTCCTCTGAAGGTTCCACATGGGAAACATCATGGGCCTTCCTGAAGGCCAGGAACATGTCCCCCAAAGGGTTTCTCCATGCCCTCCCACGTGGCACGCAGCCCCTTCTGTACCTGCACGTTAGACTCCAGCTGGCTCTTCATGGTGTTATACTCCTCCACACCCTGCACGTGCAGCTGATTCAACTGCTTCTCAAACTCTTCCACCTTTTTCATACGGGCAGCCAGGTCTTCCAGCTACGGGCACAAGAAGAGTCTTATCCACCAGCAGCAACAGCTTTCCCCATGGTCCAACTTTTGGGCATCCTAAGCAAAGCCACGCACAGAATTCCCAGGCAGAGCGGGCCACAAATGTGCCAAGTTCTTAGGACCCAGCTGCCTTTTAGCACACAGTGTCTTTGGAGGCAGCTCTGTGCTGGACAGCAACACTGGCCGTGTTATAAACCGCAGGGTCACGTTACCTCCTGCGCGTTGTGGGCCTGGATGGTTTCCTCCCATTTCTTCTTGTTGTCATCCAGCAGCTCTCGGCGCTCTAGCTCAAACGCTTTCTGCAAAGGCAAGAGAGCCCTTCAGCAGCACAAGCTCCTGCTTCTGCAGCAGTCTGGGCCAGCAGCCTTTGGGCCAGGACTAGCCCCACACTGTTGCTGTCCACTGAACACACTGGTCTCCACCAGTGGAGACCTTACACTGCCACTACCAGTCACCCAGAGATGAGATAGATGCTCTTGGGGATCAGTAATTCTCAAGTTCACTGGAAATCATTCTCCAGTGATTAGCAGAGGAACTTGATTTCACCTAGGAGGACATCACATTAAGAGGAGAGGTGCCCTTCCTGCAACAAGCGTAGGTCTGACTCGTGCAGTGGGACCTTCTGGCCTGTGCTCTGCAGAAAGTCAGGCCAAACAACCACCATGTTCCCTTATAGCTTTTACAGAGAAGAACAACCACCCAGCACGCAGCAAGGGCTTTCACATGCTCCTGACTTGCTCTACACTCACACAGTCGTTCACATGAAGGGCTCCAGCATCATACAAGACATCAGACCCACTGCCCTGCACAGCAGTCAGCCCAGCCAGGGCAATGAGCCTGCAGCTTGTTTGTGGCAGACACAGAGAAAGTGGGTGCAGGTTTCCTCACTGGACTCTTTCTCCAACAAATTAATTGGCTACCTCAATCTGTAGAAGTTCATGACGATAGTTTTTCAGCATGTTCCTGATCTGCTCCTCCATTCTCTCTGAAAGGAGGTGGATATCATCTGACTGCTTCCTCAGGGCATACACATATTGCTCATCTTTGCTTTTGAGCTCCTGGAAGAGAAGAGCAGAGGCTCAAAATGAAGTATTTTCCCAGAAACCGTCAGAGACTAACTGAGAGGCTATGACCCAGGCGCTGCCCTTCCCAAGTACAGCAGATGATGAGGGTGAAGGACCAGAGGGTCAAGAACATGCCGTGGGGAAGACCATTTCCCCCTTGAGATGCTCCTCCTCTCCCATCTTGCTGTTTTCCTGCTGTGCCTTACTACTCCAGGACACACATCCATCCCTGGACTCACTGGCAACACATGGATGTTCTCAGTGGTGGCCAGCAACAGGACAAGGGGTAATGGGTACAAGTTGAAACACAGGAAATTCCATGTCCATGTGAGGAAGAACTTCTTTCCTGTGAGGGTGCCCGAGCCCTGGCACAGGCTGCCCAGAGAGGCTGTGGAGGCTCCTTCTCTGGAGATCTTCAAACCTGCCTGGATGCCCCCTGTGCCCCGTGCTCTGGGTGTCCCTGCTGGAGCAGGGGGGTTGGACTGGATGATCCCCAGAGGTCCCTTCCAACCTCATCCATTCTGGGATTCTGGGATCCCAAAGCCGAGGTGGCCCCACGTCCTCGCCCGGCGCCCGCGCTACCTGCTGCAGTTCCCCGATGAGCTTGTTCTTCTCCTCCAGGAGCAGCGTGCACTGCCGCTGCTGCTGGGTCAGCAGGTCCCCCAGCCTCCGCCGG